GGGGACAGTTAAATAGGTATGTCGTTACAGTATCGCTAGAGAACCAAACCACAGAACGATCCATTCTGAATGGTGCACAAGTATTTGTTTGCCAGATTATTCTTCATCATTACAACTCATTACAGTTCACCAACACAAGATTATTCAACCGCCGTACCGCTTTATTTTGCCCACTATGTTTTCTTTTTGTTCTCGTACGGGTCAACGATTTTAGACGCGAGATTTCTTTTCTGCCAACTCCCGTTCGTGACCTCTCAGTCACCGTCCAATACAGATTTGCCATCCCCTCGTAGCTTCTGTCGTGGCCACATCGTCAAGTGCAGTGCAAGATGGGAGGTGGTCTGCAGTGCCGTTAGAGTCGGAGCAAAGTGGGCAGGTTGGCGTGACAGCGATCCCAATGCGGCTGAGATGCGCTTGCTGGTTGGCGTGCCCTGTAGCCATTCGGAAGATGGCAACCGCGACTCTCCTAGGGAGGTCCTTCGGTATGTTGTCCTCCCACCTTTTACTTTTGGCGGCCTGCTTTCTTGCATCATTGACGTAATTGATCACAGTTCTGTTAATGGTGCTGTAGGTGAGAGAGCGATCTGGCTGGTTCATGTTGCATCCTTGCTTGGCCAGAGCATCTGCCTTTTCGTTTCCCTGCATATCGCAGTGGCCTGGGACCCATTGCAAAGCGATCTCGCTTTTTTTTTTTTTGTTAAGCAGTTGTAGTAGCTCGCACTTGGTCACCTCTAGCCCCTTTTGGATGGTGGGTGAACGCCAGAAGAAGCGCTTGATGCGTTCAAAATGAATGTTTTGGAGATATCTGAATAGGAATGGAAAAAGTGCTGGGAAAATGGGATGTAACGTTTGCAAAAGTGGTGCATCATCATGGAGAATATTTTAAATCATGGATTTTGGAACATCTTGGAGCATATTTTGGAAAATGAAGTAATTTTAATGAAGAAAATAGGTTTTTGTTTATTGTTCTGGACACATAAATTGTAATTTTCGAATGAAAAATTTCACGAACTATGATACGATTCGACACATGATTTCTAAAATTTTACGAAACTTAAAAATCAGATGTTTCTAATGCAACTGCTTATAATATAGTTAGGGTGATGATCCAATCAGCATAAAAACTAAAACTCTGCATTGTATAATTATTCAATAAAATCAATTAGTTGTATTTGATGTCAATTAGCGTATAATTATTCTACATTTCAAACAAAGTTTCTCGTTACTACACAATTTTTTTTTTCATAATGAAGGAGGATTAGCATTTCATAAATTATTAATAAAGTCATATTAAAATATTTTAATCTAATTTGGTAATACTAATTGGTAATTATTCTTTTTTATTCTTAAATATCTTTTAGTAAATTCAAAAGGTAAAGTAATACAAGTCGAATAAATTCTTTACCAACTTTTAAAAGTATATTCATTACCTTATTTTTCTAATTTTTAATTACGAAATTATAGTCTGGTTACTGAAAAAAACATTTTTTTTTTTTTTTTGTATTTTCAGTAAATTTTAGTAGAAAAACTATCTGTAAAAAGTCGAAAGAAAAAAATCTCTGTCCTAACCATCTTACACCTCCCATCTTAAAGTAGCATAAACAGAACTATTCCTCACTAACTTATTCAGCAGGATTATTCAAAATGAAGGTGCAGATGTACCCATTCTACATTATCTGCGCATAAAAATTGGTGCTCATAAAATAACTTTGAATTTTTCACTATCCATCGATGTGTAATATGTGGCGCCGTCATTGCTCCGTTCATTGTAAATAAAAATTTGAAATCTGTTCTTTCACTTTAAATAACTCTGTAGAATGGTACGCGAAATTTAAGCAACGATGCCATTTTTAAACAGAACAGCATTGAAATTACAGAAAAGGACTTTCTGCCATTAATTCGATGGACATCTAGTTTAGTAGAAAAGTGATTCGAAAGCAAATATCAGGGGCGATTCATCACATATGACTTGAAACGCTTGCAGTTTGCACGCACAATTCAAACTACGCTGAAAAAAAAAAAAGACAAACACTATTAAAGACTCTTTGTGAATTTAAGTAAGTGTAATTTTTAAAGAATGATAATAGAAACCATCTTGTTTTCATCAATCTTTTACACGCGGTAAAATGACTGACAGTCTTGAAGAGAGGTGTAGTGCAAGAATTTCGAAATCGACAAAAGTGTTGTGTCACGAGTTGGGAAGACCTTTCAGCCATAAGTAAGCTGGTATGCTGCTCCAATATGAGGATTTTCTGCTAAACCTAATCGTCAATAAATTCAAATCCTGCTGAATTAAATACTTCGTATTATCAAAGGAGGTCCTTGGTATATTCGTAATGATACAATTCATAACGATCTAAATAAAAAAAAAATTGAAGATTTCCTCAAGGACTCATCAATCATAATAACAAGTAATTAAAGCCCAAATGATCTTTGCCCACAACAAAGGAACTGCTAAATATCCATATTCCACTACCAAATGGGATTTACCTTTAAAACTGCCAAAACACTTCGAAACTCAATGAAATTATTTCATTATTACCCATCTTTCATACTGGAAATTATTTCTATACATACACAGTTGCGCATTCAAGACTGCCCAAGTTCATCCTTCCTGACTAAAATGTACTTTTTCCGCTTCTTTAAAGACTCCTCCTGATGGTTGAAGTCATTTGACATCACTACTATCCAGCAGCATTTACACTGGCTTTCCTACAATTCCACTGGAATTTTCATCACCACACTTTTTTCAGTTTGAAAACTGTACATTATTTCATTCTTTTTTTTTTTTTTTTCTTAATTTATTTATTTCCTTTTAATTTTTTAACTTCTGTGCCACTTTTTTAAAAAAAACACTACTTTGATCCTGAGTAAATGCGTGCCTTGCATACATTTAACTCTCCTATCCATTCTTGATTGTAATACCTGTAAATAAGGGTTGGTGGGGATTGGCCAAGAAAAAAAAATAATAAAGCCAATAAATGATAATATATCGTCCAGTTGGCGATGAAAGATTGATACCAGTCATTGGACAATGTTGCTCAGTATATAATTGCTTGTTGTTATAGTTCTTAAATTATTTGAAATACAAGTACATAAATCTTTTGCTTTATATATAGAGATAATTGTTATGATTTGATGTTTTTATATTATTAAACTCATTAATTACTTTTTCAACTCATAGACTGGTAACTTCGGCGAGATTAAACAAATTAAAAATAACTTACAATTGTCTTTTATCTCTGTGACCCTCAGGATCTCTTTTTGATTTACAGTCTCCACGGGATCCAGAGATGTGGTTCTGTTTGTATCAATTGCTGTAAACAGTTTTCGAAATTAATACAATTTCTTTTATTGTACTCTTATTTACAATAAAATTAGCTCCAATTTGACAGATTATAATACTTATTTCATGCTATAATATACTAAGGCGATAAAAGATGTGATATTTATTTCAAAAGTTAAATGATGATTAATTTATGAAATAATTATAAAATTAAACCTAATTACCTAAACACATTTCACTTACTTCTGGCAGAAGATGAGATCACAGAAATGACGAGAATGAACTGCAATAACATGATTCTAAAAATTAAAAAAATAATAATAAAATTTAGAAATTTTCAAATACAAATGCTTCTCAAAGTTAAATCGAAGTAAAATAAACGTCAAAAGCATTTTTTTCTTGTAAACGAAGAGATTTCCTTGCAAATAAAAACAAACAATAACATTTTTCAGAACAATAGAAATACTTGACGAACTTGAAATTGCCATTAAATGGCGATAGATACTCTCTTTTCTTTCGTGGTGATATATTTTTTCCAACTGTTCTGCTCGTTGGTCTAATGGTATTCATAAAATCTTCTTTATTTCCTCGTGATCATCTTTAATCCATTGTTGTCTGAGATGAATATACTACATTCTTTAAATGTCCTCCTAATTATACAAGGTATTTTATTTTTGGAACAGTTGAAGATCTATAAAAGAAATATTTATGCATTTTCCCCCGTTCATTTTATAAAATTTGTAGAAATTCGTGCCTATAAAAGAACATTTAAAATAATAGATGGATCGCCTTCAGCGACATCATATGTAACAAAGGGTTTGCTCCCATATGAGAACAAAGAGGTGGTATCTCGCGATAACTTCATCGATAATGCCCTTCTCGAGTTTGACGTGAGGAAGGTCCAAAAATCAAAATATTTTATTTCTTAAAAAACTCATTCAGAGCCAAAATTTTTAAATGTGTTTTGTGCAAATGTTTTTTAATGCTATTGGCAAATTAGGTCATAACACAATGATAAATAAGAATGTTAAAATTTGACGAAAAGAAAAAGGCCTTTTTGACTTTACGTAAACACCCCTAACTCAAAGAAAATGAAATTACTTGCATAAATGTAGACCTATATTCATTAAGCCTGCATTGAATCAAAAGAATGATGCCATTCTAAAAGTCAAGCTGAGTGACAGCCAATAGAATCAATGAGGTCAAAAACGCAAGAAAAAAAAAGTTGTATTTTTTTAAAAAAAGGGCAATAACTCATTTCTCCTTGAATATATTGAGTTCAATACCTATTTAACATCATCAAAGGCATAGAGTTAAAAAAATTCATTAGATTCTGAAAATAATTATAAAAATAATGAACTGTTACTAAATGGCGATGTAGTTACAAATACAGAAATTCAACTGAAAATCATTGCTTAAATTCAATATTTTAACAGCACTTGATGAAACTCAACTGCACCTCAACTTCAAATGTCTCTAGAAACAAACTCGAAACTGTTTTCGAAAGCTGAAGATCTCATTTTCAAAATGATTAAATTGTTTTTATAAATATAAATCCCGAAATAGTCTATAGTTACATATACCTGAATCTACGACCTATTCGGTTTTCGTACCACATTCTGGACTCAAGACACGAGTTCAACAATCTTCACTTCTCGCAGTTTTGTTTAACTTCTGTGAGCCTCTTGTTCCATTTATGTACACCACAAACAGCTGAATATGCTGGTTCTTGTTAGATCACCGAAGTCAAGCATCATTGGGCGCTGTCAGTACTTGGGTGGGTGACCACCTGGAAACACCACAAGCCGTTGGCATTCACAAATTTGGGACCTGAATGGCCGAGTGTTCTAGCGTTCGGTGCCACAGGTTTCGGGTTCGAATCACGGCGGTGCCATGGATGTTTGTAGTGGTTCGGAATCCACTTTAAGCCGTAGGTCCCGGTCTCCTATGACTGTAAGAGCGTCACGGAGTCAAAGTCAGACTTTTTACCTACGGGGTGCTCCATCACAACAGAAGCTGCTTCCTTCCCCTTCAATCATGAGTACGTATGGGCTCGTGGGTTTGGCCAGCCAAGTGGGATAAGAAACAACAACAACAACACAAACAGGCTTAACAGGCTTCCGACGAGTGGAAGACACTGATTTCCGGGAAGACTTTTGAAGGTAATTATATCGCAATTGCTTGCCGTATGGGAGAAAATTTGGAAAACTTCCACTAGACAACCTGACTCTCGATTTAGCCCATTGGTTGAATTCTAATAATGACTGTCGACTTTGTCTTGGTGCAATTTCACTCTTTGAAAATTATTGGGTCAAATAAATTGAATTTTTTACGGCATGTTTGGAACGCAAACCACTTTCCATTCTAATTCTATCAGCTATTCGGTGGATAGGTCCACATTCGGTTTAAATGGGCAAATCGATTACTTGTTGAGGATATTAACAATTACTTGTTAGATTAAGCAACCATGTAGTACAAAGCAAAGTTTTAATAGTTACTATAGAATTTTTTTTTATATTTAATTTTGACTTTTGATAGTATGTATTTTTAAATTTTAACTATTTAAAATTAAAATTGTTTTTGTTATAGTAAAACACCTTCGAAATTATATTTTTTTGATTTGTTGGGTTGGTTTTTACCTATTACATTGATGTGTTTGAATCTGTTTGATTTGCCAATTTTCCACAGCATAGTTGGTCGGACTATAGTAGTAAGATGAGTTGATTTTTAACATTTTCCCTTTGCTTTTCTTACTTTTAACTTCGTATCGTAGAAGAAATCCGATACAATCAAAATATTAGGTGCGCAACTAAGTTTACGGGTTTATTTTTATCAATAAAAAATTGCAAATTTCAAAATAAATACAAAAATAACCGTTTGCAATTTGGCCAAACCTCGACCGTAACATAAATAAATGTTAAATAAAAAAATTGACATAAATAATGCTTATATTACGGGATATCTCTCTGAATTTAAAATGACACTTTTCTTCTTTTTATCACCAAATGAAAATTTTCCTTTCGCAGCCTATATTACCTAAAAATTAGTTGGCTGTAGTTTTCATTCCAGTATGAGGGTAGATAGGGATTGTGAAGTTACCACTTTAGATCAAGAATTGAAGAATAAAAAATTATTGCTTAAAAAAAAAAGCACTTCGAGTAAGTATCACCCCTCACTAGCTACACATTTTTTGCAACGGCAATCTCTGGCAATACATGGATACTAAGACGATAAAAATGACACGCCATTGGACCGAAAACCACTCATCCAACCTATTTTGTACTTCTTCAAAATTGGTCAAGTGTAGCCATGGACAATCAACGGAACAAGTGGTGGTAAGAAGGGGTGGCGTCTGGCGAATACGGCTGGTGCCGTAGCAGATCCCATTTCAGTGTTTTGTTGGTTTCCAAAATGATGGAAGTTCGCTACAATAACACTCGTTCGTATATGATACGTTCGTGTTCTAATCTGGACATTTTTCGATCAATGCATTATTGAAATTATTAGTTGTTGTTTGTTTAGTTGATGCCCATTGACAGTTTCGCTCGGTTTTAGCTGCCCATCATCCTGAGCGCACCTTGCCTTCAGTGTCGAAATTGCCTCTTCTGAAGGTTTAAACCAATCTTCACATGTAGTTTTTGATGATGCATGTTCCTCCTCAAATGAATGACGGGCTTCAACTGCATTTTATTTTAAGTTAAAGCAAAAAACGCAAAGCTATCTGCAAATGCTGTTTATTTGACACAAAACTCGACATCGTTATTAAAAAAAAAAAAAAAAAAATAGTTTCGCGTTGCAACATGCGTTGGTTTTACTATTTATTATTTTTTGACAGACGTCTATCCTATAAAAAATCACATGTTCTGACATGTATGTCCGTTAGATGTGCCATTATCCCATTTATGAGTGAAACCCGGAAATTTAGTTGCCACCTAGTAAATATTTTACACAAACTTTTTCACATTGTCAGTTTATCTATAACTTCTCAAAACAATTAAAAGATAGTGTGAATTTGATATGAAATAATTATATACGCGGCAACTTTTTTAATAAAAATGGAATTTATTTTAAATAAAAATGAGAATAGACAAATTTTTCTGCGCCGTCGAAGCTACGTATTTTATATAAGGAGTGAAAGTGACCTGCAGTATTCCTTCTGTAACAGGAGATTAAAAACAATTGACGCGTTTTGAATGTTTTGTAACAGTGACTACGAGGTCTCGCCAGAAGAATTAGCTGAATCGGTAACCAGGACAGCCATCGGTCGTTTAGAGCCGGAGTAAATAAAAAACCGTTGTGGCGGAAGCGTTACTCAAAGATTCATTTTCGGACTACCAATCGGTTTTGGAAACAAATGTTCGCCGAAGTTCAGCAACGTCGTATGCGTGCAGGAACACAAAATGAGGAACGGTATTTAACACTTAAGGCCAGAAGAAAGCACTGTGAGAACCACTTTCTTGTTGAGGTAGCAAAATTTCGACTCAAAGTGTTTGAAACCGACTCGACTATGTGCTTGTATATACTCACAGACCTATGATTTTTGTTTCATTGGCATAAGACCATGCTGCTCACAGAAAGTGGGCAGAGCAGCATGTTGGATAGGCGCGAGATGAGAGGAGCTACATGCTTTCACGGACGAGTTCCGATTTAGTGTACAACTTGACAATAGGTGCATTCTCATTTGGGAGAACCTGGTATACGGAATACTCATGCATTTGTGCAGGAAAGTGGCCGATTTGGTGAAGGTGGAGTGATCGTCTAGGCAGGTATTTCTATCCATGGTCACACCGACCTGCACATTATCAAGAATGTAGCACTAACGGCTCAACAATATAGGAAGGAGATCCTCAGACCTATTGTGGTCTTTTATGCTGCAGCAATCAGGGATGAATATATTCTCATGGATGAAAAACATCTGGCCACATCATGCTCAACTAATTGACAATTTACATTTTCATGAAAGAATCCTTCGAATGGATCGGTTAGCATATTTCCCAGATAATAGAACATGTTTGGGACATTCTAGAAAGAAGGAATGATAAAAACTAATAACTCCTAGAAATAATTTAGCAGTTGAAAAGCTTTCTTCTAAGGAGTGTGTGAGAATGTTTCAGTCCTTCATTGATAACCTCGTTGATTCCATGTCTCGCAGGTGTTCAACATTGCTTTCAGTCAGGAAAGCCATGTTACTTATTGAAACATATTTGTATCCCAAAAAAAAACACTTTTTTAATTGTTTGTATAATATGCACGAATTGTGCACTTTTTTTTTTTTTTGTTTATCGACTAATACCGACAATAAAATTTAATTATTCTATGGTCGTTGCTGCTTCTTTTTTGTTCATATTTTACCTATACATCATGTATTTTTAGTCAACGAAACATTTCCTCATTCGCAATTTACACCCAAAATCATGATATGCTGTGATTGTTTTGAGCAGTATATACTTTCAATAATAAAGACTTTTTTGTTGAATTCATTTAGGCGAACTCGTGCTTCATAACGAATCGCAATAAATTTCCTGCTAAGTTATTTTCATGATAGACTCTACAATATCCGTTGCATTTAAGCACATACCTCTGCAAAAAGCCTTCGACATTTTTGGAAACTTCTATTTTTTGATTATTGCATATAAGATGTGTTGAAAGATTCTTTGTGGTTAGTTTCTGCGTAAGATTTTTTTTTTGTTGTTACTAGAATTTTCATTTTAAAAACATTAATAACAGTACATACCTTTTTTTATACCTTGCGTACTTAAATGTACGATATTCATTTGGAATCTTCTTTCAATGTGAAAGTATTGATGTATTTCTCATTAATAATGATGTATTTCCCCTTCTTTATTAATAATGATGCCTATTTCGCACTTAAAATTTTAATACTATAATTACGGAATATAAAATGGTTTTTTTTGGCTCTTGAATTATGGTTTAATGTTATATTATTATGGAATATAATGGTTTTTAATTTATAATTATGGAAATGTAAGGATTTTTAAATATGGAATAAGCGAGTGTATGTTCGGAAAATGCAGAAACGTATCCTTCGATTTAAAATTCTCTTTCGTAAGACGTTTTGAAAGAATAAAATTAAAGTCAGCAGATTTCATTTCATATAATATTCTGTTGGCAATAATATTCATTCCCCGATATTTATATTTTTCAATCCTTTATTGAAATCTCTATAAGAAATAAAATAGTTTTATCAAATACATATCATTGATACTTTTTACTACTACACCACAACCACATCACTGTGCCTAAAGCTGAGTTGCCCTTTACAGTTTGGAAATGATGTAGGTGAGAAGAAGTCTGATTAGCCTCTGTGACGATCTACCATCATATGACATCGAAACCTACGGTTTAAAGCGGATTCCGAACAGCTACAAGCATCCGTGGCACCGCCGGGATGCACCTACAAAAGCGCTAGCCACTTGGCCATATTCCCGATGCTTTCAGTGCACTGTTAATTTTATTGTCATCTTTATGAAGAGGGATTTCATATAATGCTCGCATAACATCTATCCTTCAGTATATTATCTTCGTTGTGGCGTGATGGCCAACTGGTTAGCGCTCTGGCAGTTGGTACCGAAGGCTTCAGGTTCGAATCCTGGGGGTGGCATGGATGGTTTTCCGGAATCCACTTTAAACTTTAAGTCCTGGTCAGATTAGCCTAAAGTGTGCGCAAAATGACCGTAGAGCGACAAACCAAACCAATTATCTTCGTCGCCAAGTTTGGTGCACGACAAAGTAATGCCTTCAGGACAGACTTCAAAGGTAAACCTTCCCACATTTATGCATTCTATTGGT